GGGTGAGGTGCTGTCTGGGTTTAGAGTTCAGGGTGCAAAGCTTAGCTGCAGGGTTCAGAGGCTAGGGGTAGGCTGTTGTACTTGGAGGGTCGGGTGACTTCATTTCATAGACTCATAAAGATCATAATCCTCATTAGGATCCCCTGTATGGTATAAGTCTACTTACTACCTACCTACTAGTCCCCTGATCCTCCAGGCAGGGGTTTGCAAAGCTTCACGGCTTAGCGTTTCAGGTGATTGGAGCTCTTGGACTGTTTACCCCAAACCCTGAGCCCAAAACCATAAACCCTAAACCAGCTAGTAAACAAACAAACACAGAAACAGACACACAGACACACACACACACACATGTGTATATATATATATATATATGTATATGTTTCTATAATAATAATGTACGCGGAGACTATGTGCGCATGTATATCTCTTATTTTAGGGCTCATGGTTCATGAGGTCATTACAGACCCGAGGTTGAGGGTTGCAGGGATCGGGGTCTGAGGCTTTGGTAGTGCTGGATGCAGGACCCTCATGTGGGGGCCTTGATAGCTAGAACAAGGTTTTGGATCACGTTTTGCCATTTAGTGGGTCACGCTTTGTTGCACATTACGATACCAAGGAACCCTAGTGGGAATAGTATTGGTAACCATTGAGGCTCCTATAGTCCTGTATGATTCGCTCGGGGTAGGGCCCCAAGCCTAAACATATGTGCACTGAGCCTATAAAACAGACTCCAGTCCTAGTTCAACCCCATGGCTCAAAAGTTCTATCGTTGACCCGAAATTCTGCAGACGTAAGCACTGCAAATGCATCTTTTTGCACACTTCCACGCATTTCGAGTGCCGGCAGCAGGGCCACCTGCCCAGGCCGTGTTGGCGCGTTGGGTTTAGGGCTAACGCCAAGAGGATCTAGACTGTGCTTTTTTACGGCCAGACCTCTAAGCCCAAGACCCTAAACCCTAAACCCTAAACTCTAGACTTCTAAGGCCAAGACCCTGGACAATAAAACCTTGAAGAGGGCCGTTCTTACTTCGGCGTCCTTTTAACTCGAGGAAGGATCCTAGCGCTCAGGGCTGGTACAAGACTTTATATAACCCAAAGCCGAAGTTACAAACTCAAGTTTGTGGATGTCTCGAAGCTATGTTACAAACTCAAGTTTGTGGATGTCTCGAAGCTATCCGTAGTTAAAAGTTGCTAGATGACCTATATCTCCTAACTGATGTGTCATCAGCCGATGGAAAGCCGGATAGGTGCATGTGCGAAGCTTAAAAGTAAATCTGTTTCCAGAAGGGGATTATAGGGTAGAGTGTTTAGGGCTTAAGTAAAGCCTAAACCTCAAACCCTGACCCGAAATCCTGAAGCGCAGCTACACCTGAAATCCTGGGTTTCAATCGAGAAGGCCCAAAACCCCGGTGCCCTACACACGAAAATCCACTAATCATTGAAGGCCCAAAGCTGATACTAGCCCCAAAACAAATATAGGGCCAGGGTTCAAGGACTAGGGGCTAGGGGCTCGGCTTTTACGGTTTATTGTGGCCCTTGGGCTCATGAGGCTTAGAGTTGCGCGTCGAACCCATATACGACACTAAAGGGACTGTAGGACACCCCAAGACCTAAGGCGATCCGCGACCCAGAACCCTCTGAAATACAGACCTTGTCCTGAAGCCCTGGAAGACACAAATCGAAACCTGAAACAAACCCTAAGCCTCCATGTACCTATGTAGCATATGCGAAGGCCGGGGTTCTTGTATTCACACTTTAATGATTAAGTATCTACTCTATCTATGTATAGACGAAGTATGTTCAAAGGAAACGACAGACCCTAAGACTCTTCCTTATTATGAATTCCTTTTCTAAGTCCTCAGAAAGGTACGTTATTTGGGGTTCAGGTAGACCCGATAATGTAACGTAGGCAACCCTAAACCCTAAACCCTAAACCCTAAACCCTAAACCCTAAACCCAAGGGCCTTCCAGGCTCCCTTAAGCAGCAGCAGCGACGTGCACGTAGGCTAAGCCGATGCCTCAGTCTAGGACTTCCAGGGTTCCTTTTAGGGTTCCTCTAGGACTCTACGGGTTTCTATAGGGGCTTATGGTTCGGGGTTTAGGATTACGGGTTTAGGGGTTTCGGGTTTAGGGGGTTTGGGATTCAGGGCTCAGAGGGTTCAGTTATTAAATGTTTGGAGTTTCAGGACGGAGACCGCCTGCACCTTCAGACTTTGACTAGGGCTCCAAGTATACAAATAGAACCTACTTTGGGGTCTAAAGTCTGTAAATAGTACCTACTTTGGGCTTTTTGGAGCCCCAGGGTTTGAGTATCGATCGAAGATTACGCTTGTCGGGTGGACCAGAAGCAGAAGTAACTCTAGTAACCCTAAACCCTAAACCCTAAACCCTAAACCCCTAAACCCTAAACCCTAAACCCTAAATAGTACTCTAGTTAAGATCAGAGGCCCCGCCGATGCTCTGCATCGCGCTTCAGCACCGTGCAGCGATGGTACGTCATGAAGACAACATAGCAATACCTGGCAAGGCAACCAGGATCACATGCTACGAGTGCCACTACCCACTTGCACTGCATCTCCGACGTTGCCACTTTGACCACGACCCCTGCAAATTGAAACACCAAGGATGCGCGTTTCCTCTGCCAGGTGCAGGCTTTTCTCCCAGTTCCCGGGAAACCTAAAAGCCTCACCTGGACCCCGAAAGTGTGTAGAATAATAGCCCTTGAGAGGTATCGGGCCATTATTTTACCTACGTTGGGCGCTTTAGGCGAACCTTAAAATGAATCCTGCCAAGCACACGGAGAGATGGTGGTGGCGATGTGGAACATGGCGTGCAAATGCAAGGCCTTCGATCAACAAAGCTCGGCCTCTACTCCATAAAGACTTATGGGAATAAGGGTGGAGTGCTTTGGGTGAAGGGGTTAGGGCTTTGGGCTTTAGATACGGCTACGGCTTTCGGTTTGTACGGTGGGCTGTACTTCTCCAGGCCTACTCTAACCTGAGTGACTATACTGTTTCGCAGAGTCCCTGACGTCTACTTGAAGGTTCATGGGACTTAATAAGCACAGTTATAAGTACCTTAATTAGGGTTTTAAGCAAGTATAATTATAGTTATCTCATTTCTAACCCTAGCTACTAAGTCCCATGAACCTCTAAGTAGATCCCGGAAAGCCGCAGCGCAAACAACATGGGATTCCGGGCTTGATATTTGGGTTCTACGGTTTGGATGCTTGGCGTCAGGGTCCCATGCAGGGATCGTGTAGCTGTAGACCTTGAACTGGAGCCCCCTTAACCCCTAAACCCTAAACCCCTAAACCCTAAACCCCCACACGAAACCGTTGGAAAGGAGACTTCGCTGGGATTTCATGTTATGTTCGACTTGCACCATGGCAAATGCAAGATCCAGGTCTGAATTAACATCAAAAATAATTATACTACTACTAACATTATTAATCATGATGATGATACTAACACTAATCACACGGATAAAAGAGTACAACAACAATAACAATAATGATAACAACGAACAAGAATAACAGTATAATGTCCACATTAGTAGTATTCCTTCCTCGTCCCTGCAATACTCCAATAAGCTGGGCTGTGCCCCGCCATTCATTTATTCAGGCCCACATGTCAAGTTACGCACACGTGTGGAAAGCTGTACCTGGAGACTAATGTTCAGGCCCAAGGGGACCTGGGTACTGCTTTGGGGGGATTCTTTCTCAAATCACAACAACGATCCTTCCTAATGTGTAAATTACGTACAATCTTCCACTATATGGCTACTATGGGGTTAAGATGTATGCGGAAATCAAACTCTCGGGTCTACAGGGTACATGTTCAAGGTGTAGGGCGCATGAGCCGTCTACACCCGAAACACATGCGATGTCAACCCAAAGACCCTTACCCTAAACCCTAAGCCCTTAGATCCAAACGCTGACTCATCCAGTCCAAGCCTGGAACAGCTCGGGGTAGATCGGGCACCTAGGCTAAGGGCCCATGCATCTATAGTCTACGACATGTACTTTGGCCCCAGCCCCACTATACCCTAAACCCTAAAACCTGAACCCCAAAGCCTAGAACCTTACAAGTCCCTGCAGGGCCAAAAACCATAATACATGGATACATGGACCCTGTTTTTCTTTTTTGTTACCCAAAGTTAAAGGCACAAAGAACAACAAAAAACACTTGGACCCAAACCCTAAACCCTGAACCCCTAAACCCTAAACCCCCAAACCCTAAACCCTTATGGCTGGCAAGCTTTCCCGAGGTCTGCTCTTCAAGCCCCCGGCCCTGGCTGGTTGGGGACTTAGGGGTTGGGGATTGGTGTTTAGGGTTTAGGGTTTAGGGTTCGGTTGGGGATTTAGGAATTAGGGTTTAGAGGTTGAGGCGTTTAGAGGTTTAGGGGTTTAGGGGTATTCAAGGTGAACTCTGGGTTTCGGCTGATACTAAACTGCCTGCATCAGTAGGTGGGAGTGTATATGTTTACCCATGCTCTCATTTGCTAAACCTAGCAAAGGAACTACTATGGAGACTGTAGGTACGGTAGCATTTACTTGGACCGTTTGCTCCACCATGCGTGACTCGAGGACAAAGCAGTCGCACACAAGTTGGGAGCAGCCACCAGCTTTGGGATTCATTCAATTATTCCAGGCTTACGGTTTACGCTTTTAGTGCAGAATCTGGCTTGTCAAACTACAAAATGCTTCTGGCCGGTAGATGTTGGGCTATCCAGTCATGCAGCTCTACCGAGCTTTAGCACCAGAAATGGGGCCTGTCAGGTCACATCTTAATTCGCCGTCAACCATGCATGCTTACGACGCTGAGCTGTCCTTCTGCTTCCGCATAAACGATACCCCGTGGATACAACGGATTGAAACCGTAAAGCGCCGCAGCCACCAAGCAATATACTCCCAAAATAAGGGCCCTTGAGCATTCCATGCATCCTCCCATGGCCAATCTTTCTTACACAAAAACAATGTCGATTGCTGGTCCGGAGCACAAAGCATTCTCCGGCACCCAAAGGAAGAGGAATGCGGCCTTGCTCATCGTGGCTGTTAAAACTCTACCAAGCCCAACATGACGTCTTGCAACATCCTATACAGCGATTGAAGGTACCATCGTACAGCTTTATCATCATAGCTCCGTGCTTGCAGTACAGGGGGGGCTAGGGCTTTCGGGTCTGGCGAAATACATCATGTTGCTTGATCATATCTTTGTTTACACCCCGTCCATCTCGAGGATGCCTTTCTCCTATAGGGTTTAGGGCTTGGGGCTTTCAGGTTTAGGGGCTATCAACTCTGTCTCATGGCATTGACAGGGCCACCGAGGAGGATCTGTCAGGGCATGGGGGTTTTTTGAAAAGACAGTCCAAGGGTTGAAGGTTGTGGCCTGAGGGTATTCAGGGTTCCCACACAATCCAGCTCTAGTTGGTGGGGCGGGCTTACATCTACTTAAGGTCCGATGGGGACGTTGGGGCTGATGACCCGGGTAATTGACGCTTAACCACATTCCTGTCCATGACAAAGTTCAGACACAACCTAAACAAATGCTGTGCAAGCCAGGCCAGAGATCCGAATTCTATAGACAAATCCCTGAAACCAAGACCCCACACTCCAAATCCAAACTAACTATACATAACTACATATATACATACACACATATATGTATATCAATCCCTTTCTCTCTCTCTATCTCTCTCTCTCTCGCTCTCGCTGTCTGTCTCTCTCTTGCCATCACCGAGAGGCAGGATAGAACGTGGCGGCAACCCAGAAAAGCAGCCGCTGCCACTTCGCAGCTGCCGTGTCCTCGCACGGGCAACTTTTGGATCCAGCTCAGAAGCAACACAAACTTGACCTCATTTGGGGTGTCCCGAGGAGCCAGTACGCACATTCCCGAGCCCGAAATCAGACTTCTATGCAGGTTTGGTTGGCCGTCTCTAGACGAAGAAACCCAGGCTATGCACTCGCCTATGTTCCGAAGGAGTCCGATATCAACCAGCATCAACCCTATCCAATACCCCGTCTCCAAATCTGTCCTCTGCAGCATAGAGCTTGTAGACTTGGTAGGCCTGTTTGGTGGCAGATGTTGAAATGAATCCACTCAATCCGGTAAACATCTCAGACCCTTATCCCCTTAAAGCAAATCAAAGTCCATGGAATCGTGAAAGAGGTGAAGAACCCTTGTTGAATTCATTGCAGTGTCAGGACCGCAAGGCTTCGCGCCGTTGCTGCCGGACCTGTGGTGCAATATTGCGGCCCGAATGAATGATCAGAATGGTGCTAACCTTGACAAAAACTATCCATCTATTTATTCCTACACCCTAAATCCTAAACCATCCCGGCTTCTATATTCAATTTTTTCGGTCGTAAGACGGATCTTATTTCTGGGCTTCGGAAGCAAAGAAGCAATGGAAACCTAGCAATCGGGTCTTCGTCCCGGACCTTAAACCCTAAACCCTGAAGACTAAACCGAACCTTAAACCCTCAACCCTAAACCGAACCCCAAACCCTAAACCCAAAACCGAGCCCAAAACCCAACCCCAAACCAAACCCTAAACCCTAAACCCTGAACCTCAAAGATGCCCCATCAGCCCCACCCCAGCTCCGATTCACGAAACCCCCCAGCCTATAGTTAGAACACCCTAACCCCTAAACAAAGACACCAAAAGCCAACCCACAGGTTCATAAACAATAAGCAAAAAACAGGAAATCCTGACTCTGATAGTTCAAATCCTACAGGGCCCAGAATGACAACGGCGCTGCCGAAAGTCTGCAGGTTTACGGCTCAGGGCCTAAACCCTAAACCCTACACCCTAAACCCTAAATCCTCAACCCGAAACCCCAAATCCCAAACCCTAAACCGAAAAGGGTTACCATCCAGAAGAACGGCTCCGAAGCGAGCCCGAAGTGAACTCAGACCCAGGAGAGCGGCCGCCCCAGACCTTGCCTGGAAGATGATCAGCAGCACTGTGCATCCGTAGGCCGCCACGAAGAAGGGGAAAAAGAAGGGCGATGTGAAGTAGGCCTTCTGAGTAGGGGTATTGGGGTTCAGGGTTTCGGGTTCCAAACTGCTTACTTCCAGCCATAACCGCCTCGTGATTACTTCAGGCTGGCGTACGCGCTCAAATGAGTAGGCAGATGCACAGATACAAACCCCAAGCCCTGGACCTTAACCCTTGAGCCGCGAGCCGTAAGCCCCAAACCCTGAATATGTTTGGAAAGACCTGCTGATGAAGAGCTAAGGCGCGACAGCGAAGCCAAAGGCGTAAGCAGTCCTTGCTGCGGTGAGCTTGCCCTAGGAGGTCAGTGACCGTATACAGTTGCTTAATTACTGTCCCTACTTACACCCTATAGACACCTTGGCTTGCGGCAATTCACAGGCAAACCCCAGACGATGCATGTATATTTGATGGATTACCGGGCTGCGGGTACTAATGCATATATGGGTATGTTGGTCCCGAGGGCAACCCCAAACCAGTAACCTCTGAACCCCAAATCCTAAACCCCCCAAACTCCTAAACCCTGAACCCCCAAACTCCCACACCCTAAACCCAAAACCACTGAACCCCAAAACCCTAAACCCCTAAGCCCTCCAAACTCCCAAACCCCTAAGCCAGAGCTGAAGCTTGCAAGCATCTGCAAGGCTGGCAGCCACGAGCGCTTCGCTTCCAAGTGATCCGCTTCCAGCACAACATAGAGAAACCTTTGGGGCTCCAAATAGCCCAAAGCAGGCAGGTTTTAGGGTTTTTTTTTTAGGGTGTAGGGCCTAGGGTGTAGGGTTTAGGGATTAGGGTTGCTTCAGGGTGGTACCATGAATAAACTTTAGACTCCAAAGTAGGTACTGTTTGTATGCTTGGAGCCCTGGGGGAAGGCTTCCGGGTTCGGGTTTAAGGCGTACTGCAGGGTATAGGATTTAGGGGCCCTGTTTCGGGCTTATAAGCCTTTTTGACCTTCTATGGAAACAAGCAGCATGTACTATCACTAGCCGAGATTATCAAGGTAAGACATCTTGTTAGGGGGCTCTAATTCGTAGAAGCGGTCCGGGTCTGGTGTGTACTACTTATGACACAAATTAAAGGACACCTCTGCAAAGCCTTGGTAAAGCAGCGCCACCCAGAGCACCGCCGCTCCACAGTTTACAAATCCTGCCCGAGAATACTTCAACATCTAGTCTAGTCCCGATGCCATCGATCAGAAGTGGTTTTGGTTTGCAAACCGCGTCAGCCGAGAAGCACCATGCTGGCGCAAATCATTGCAAGCTCATCCGTTGCCTGCCCCACTGGATGGAGCATTGCGTGGAAAGCCAGCGTGCCAACGCCTGCGCATGACATAGATGAACTTACTTGCTAGACGGTTTCGAAAGGGTGTTGTACATGATAAACTGATGAACCACAATAGATATAAGTAAGAGCTACTCACGTTGTGAGATCTTGGGGTTGTTTCGGCCCTTGAACCTGAAACCTCCAACGACCAATCCTCCCAAGCCCCCAATCAATACCTAAGAAAGGCCCCGAATGATTAAACTATACAGGGCTCACTGGGGCAGAGCAATAACGACGGTAATCATACAGGGGATTACTTAGTATTATCAGTATCTTTCCGAACCTTTTTTTAACAGGCCCTCACCCGAAACCCTAAACCCTGAACCTAAACCAGCGCCTACGGCGCCAATGCCGGCCCAACAGAGATAGAAGCGCAGTTCCAGGCCATATCTCACGCAGAGGTAGAGCCCCCAAACGGAAACCTTTGGCATTTTGGAGCTGCGAGGCTTCTTTAAAGGTATTTTTGTCAGGGTAGTGAAGCTACAGGGTGTTACGGGGGATACATACATACATACCTACGAGTACCTGCCTGCCTACCTACCTACCAACCAACCCACCCACCCAGTGGGCCGACCTACCTACATCCACTCACCCACCCACCCAACCACCCACCCACCGACCTACCTACCTACCTGCCTGCCTGCCTGCCTGCCTGCCTGCCTACCTACCTACCTACCTACCTACCTACCTCCCTACCTACATCCCTCCATGAATGCATGCCAGCACTGCATGCATGCATACATACATACATACTCACATCCATCCATCCATCCCTCCCTCCCTCCATCCATCCAAACACAAACACACAAACACACATGCATGCATGCATGCATGCATGCATGCATACATACATACATGCATACATACATACATACGTACATACACATACATACACACATGCATACACACACAGAGACACAAAAACACACACACACACAAACATGTACATGCATACATACATTACACACATACATACATGCTCCCGTTCATGCATCAAAACAAAACTTTGTATAATATATATATATATATGACGTACAACAAAGAGAGAGGCAAAGAGACGCAGAGAGAGAGAGAGAGAGAACGAGAGAGAGAGAGAGAAAGAGAGAGAGAGAGAGAGAGAAAAAGACAGAGAGAGAGAGAGAGAGAGCGAGAGAGAGAGAGAGAGAGAGAGAGAGAAAGAGAGAGCTCGCCTCCAGCATTGTTTTATGGTGTGTTGAGGTTGCAGCTTCGGGCTGTAAGGTGTGTTTTCTGAAGGTTTCGAGCTGGAAGTAAGTAAGTAGTGTTGGAAGTTGCGGCTTAAAGATGTGGCAGTACATACTGACCGACTTAGGGTTTGGGGCTTGCCTGGAGTAGCCAAAATACCTTCCAACTAAAGGGAACCGACAAACAAATTAATCTAGGGGACGTAGAGGGCTGGGAACTGCTGAGCTTGCAGGACTTGACCACGAACCCCGGAAGCAAAGAGGGCAAAGACCTAATCCAAAACCCTAAATCGCAAAGTGCTTGGGGACGGGAGGAGGGAAGTTTCCTCCATCAAGGCGAGGCACGGCCACCATTGGCACGGCAGTAAGAGTGTTGAAGAACTCAGCAACATAAGGCGTGTGGGCATAGTTGGCCTCACCTTTGCTGTGGTTTAAAATTTAAAGCTTAGAGTTTTAAGGCCTCGCCTTTGCTGTGGTTTAGAATTTAAAGTGTAGAGTTTAGGGCCTCACCCTTGCCATTCCGCTGGGGCCTGCCTATTGGAAAGCTGTCAGAGGCAGGATTCAGGTCTCGAGAGTCGAACGACCGCAATGCGAATTGATTTTACACGAAAGTTGTTCTTTAATTAACTCTCCTTATGAAAAAGCAATTGACAAAGGGCTCCCTGTTTCCTGATGGCTCGCTGTCCGCTCTGAACCTCAAAATTAATGTGGGTAGTTCGCTGAATTAGGGTCCCCTTTTAGGTCCCCACTATGGCGCGGCACCCTCAGAACCATGTCGGGGTGCAACATGAACCCTGAACCAACGCACAAAGTCCAGTAATCAGCAAAGGTCCGGATGAGAACCTTAAGCCCCTTATACAACCCTGAACCCCAAACCCTCACAGAACCCGGAACCAAACCTTTACAGAACCCTGAATGCCAAACCCAGACGAAGCGGCACCAGTCGACGATACTCGTCGGCAGGCCCCAGAAAGGATCCGGATGGAGGCTTAGCACCTCGATAGGCCTGGAGGTCGTAGGGCTCAGAGGGTTTAGGGTTTAGGGTTTGGGGTCTGGGATCTAGGGTCCAGGGTTTTTTTGGGTTAGGGTCTAGGGTTTAGGGGTTTAGGGTTATTGGGGCTTTAGGGTTTAGGGCTTAGGTTCCTTTCAAGGGTTCCTGTATAGAGGGCGTCCATCAGTTTTAGAAGGGCTAAATTCATTTTAATAAGACATAAGCGCCCTAGTAAGTTGAACAGGTGTGTGTATGTGTATATATATATATATATATATATATGTGTGTGTGTATCTTATACTTCTGATATGCAGAATCAGGGTCTAGGGTTGGGGGTTAGGCTTAGGGCTCGGAGTGTAGATAGGGTTTCGGGTTTAGGGATGGTTGGGGGTTACCATGGGGTTTGCCTTTGGGCCATGGGCAAGTTGGAGTTTAGGGATGATCTTGCTCCTGGCTGACTTGAGGATGAAGCTGAGGATGAAGCTGAACCGGCCATCCCTAGACCCTCAACCCGAAGCCCTAACCCCTAAATCCTAAACCCTAAATCCTGAACCCTAAACCCTAAGCTTTTAATCCTCATCCCAAAACCCCTTAACTAAGCCCCAATGCGCAGGCGGTGGTGCAAACCGCATGGTTTTACATGGCCTACGGCTGATTCTGAACCCCGCCAGGCCTGCGGTAGAAGGGATCACGTGGCACCATCTGCTTTGATCTGATGCCCTTGCGACCTCTATCCCTGAACTGCCCCTTAACCCTTATAAGCCCTAAACCCTAACCCTAGCCTTAAACCCTACACCCTACAGCCTAAACCCCGAATCCCAGATTTCAACTGAGAGTCGAAGCTCTGGGTCTCGGATCCAACGGTTCAGTCTACCCTGCAAAACTCCCAAGCAACTCTTCATGGAGGGACTTCCCACCCTAAGAAGCGCAGCTTCTTGTAGCAAGCTTAAAGTGACTCTGGTTCAGAGACGAGTAGGTGCAGGTTTTTGGAGCTGAAGGTTTAGATGAACCCTGTGCGGGGCTACGAAATCGAACGAGCCAGCTCAGCCGAAGTGGCTGCAAGCACCGACGAGAAAGGGCTCGAGAGCAGAGGTATGTGGCCACTGAGGCCATAAATGCCAAACACCTGAACCTCAGCCGCAAGCGCCTGAAACCCAAATCCTGCACAATTACAAGCCTGCAGATGTCTGGATCCTGGGTCAATCCAAGGCAGATCTGAATCTCTCCCCTCAGAGCAAGGAAACAGAACTCGGAGAATAGGCTCCGAGGGAGAATATAGGGGTCTTAATGAATGGAACTTAAAACAAGGCTTCAGTGTAAGAAGAAACTATGTCTACGGTCCTGGGTTGATGCTAGAGACTGAGTGCAGCCTCTCAGTTGGAAACAAGATGACACAACTATAGTCATAGTCGCTATTGTAGTTCCTTTTTTGGCTGAGCCAAGTATATATTATATTGAGGATCCTATTAAGGTAACCCCCCAAAACGATCTACAATGGAGGCTACAGGAAAGCCTTAAACATATCGTGGACTCTTCTGCATCGAGTCCATAAGCATTGCAACTGTCGGTACCTCTATGCAGAGCGGGCTTTATACAACTATGGGTTATAACACCCAACAACTAGGACTTCTACAGGCACTGCAAACATTGAACGCTTGAATCACTGCAGTCGTCGTCGCCACATTGAGTTTACCGAGGAAATCTACGTGGTTGTAGGACGCTGCAGGCACAAGACAAACAAGGCTCTGCGCCAGACTTCCGAACTCCAAACAGCCCCCACATGCTGCATACGGTCTTTGAAGTAGCTCTTCTTTCTGGCTAATGTAGGGGCCTTGATAATTAGATTAGGGTTTTGGGGCCCATGATACTTTAATTATAATAAGGAACCCCCAAAACAGTATAGGTAATTTTTAGGGCCCCTATATTACCCCTGGTCAACTGCTTCTACAGTCAGGATCCTAAGATGCCAAACCAAGTCTTCAACGAGATGAAGACCAAGCCCTAAGCCCTGAGCACTACACCCTGAAATACGGTTGATGATATAAGTCCTGCATTAACCATAACAAGGAATATGCCATAGCTCCCATAGTTTAGGGTCCTTACGGTAATGCAGGTTTTATATCATCAACATGCCCTAAGCCCTAAACCCTCTACAGAACCCTGGACAGGAACCTTGAAGGCCAACACCTGGACACCTCATCCAAGTGGAATGGAGCCCCGAGATCCTACAGCCCTTCGGCTCCGGGGAGTTTAGAGCAACACTTTACCCTAAACCCTAAACTCCGTAAACTCCCTAAACCCTAAACACCCTAAACACCCTAAACCCTAAGCACCCTAAACACCTAAACCCTGCACTCCCTAAGTCCTAAAGACCCTAAACTCCCTAAACCCCTAAAGTTCCTCAACCTTGAGGGCTTAGGGCCATAGCCCAACACGCGTTCCTGAGCCCTAAGCTCCGGATCCTTAACCCAAAGGATAGGCTTTTGGGGGTTTAGGGTTTAGGGTTTAGGGTTTAGGGGGGCTTTTGGGGNNGGGGGGGGGGGGAGGGCTTCTTGATTCAGGGGTTCGAGTTTACTTTGGTCTTCAGGTTGGTGTGCCTAGGGTCAAGGGGCTTGAAGGCTATAACCAAACCCGAAGAGCTGTACCCCAAGAGCTAGAAGCCTAGAACCTCGAAACCGAACCCTTGGCCGAAAGTTGAGTTCAGGGCCTCAAACTTAAACCCAAAAGGCTCTTGAACCTGCCTGTGGGGTCCATCCCATCTCTTCCATCAGGCGTTTTGCGCCTGTGGGATGTTGTGGGCTTCGTGCAGCAAGGCAGGAGTTGGCTTTGGGGCTTGGAGGGTTTGTGGCTACTTAAAGGTTCATGCGACTTAG